ATATATATATATATATATATATATATATATATATATATATATATATAATAGTGCCTTCTCTGGATAGGGGAGGGGGGTCCTGCCCCAAGTGGGGGAGTTTAATTATTTCGGGGTCTTGTTCAAGAATGAGGGTAAAATGGAGTGAGAGATCGATAGGTGGAAAGGTGCGGCGTCTGCAGCTGTACAGGTCTGTCATGGTGAAGAAGGAGCTGAGTCTAAAGGCGAAGCTCTCGATTTACCGATCGATCTACGTTCCTACTCTCATCTATGGTCATGAGCTTTGGGTTGTGACCGAAAGAACAAGATCACGATACAAGCGGCCAAAATGAGTTTTCTCCACAGGGCGTCTGTGTTGAGGAATCTTTCTTAAGGTAATATCATTTGTCTAATTTTCTTTTTGATTGAAACTTTAAGGCTGAAGAAGTATTTGAGATTCCATCTATCCATCTTTTTACCCACTTCTTCCTTTTCTGGTCACGGGTGTCACTGGTGCCCATGTCCAGCAGTCACTGTGCAAGAGGTGGGGGACACCCTGGACAGGTCTCCAGTCCATCACAGGGACACATAGAGACAAACAACCATTCATTCTCACTCTCATCTAGGGACAATTTAGAGTTACCATCAGCCTAACATGCATGTTTTTGGTCTGTGGGAGGAAACTGGAGCACCCTGAGAAAACCCACGCATGCCCGGAGAGAACATGCAAACTCCACCCAGAAAGGCCCCTGGACCGGGAATTGAACCAGGGACCTGCTCGCTGAAAGGCAGCAGCTCTACCAGTTGTGCCACAGTGTTGCTCAGGTGCTAAGTCATTTAAAATAATTTATTTTAAATAAAAAATTCATGCCGATTGTGCAGCTCATCCATCAATCAGCCATTGTCTGTCATGTCCAATCTTACTTTGAAAAACTGCCATAGAGCGAGTTTGCGATAAACGAACCACCAAGTAGAGGAACTACTGTGCATATATACATATACATACATAAGTACATGCATACAAACTTACATACATACATACATACATACATCCAGGGGCTAGAACAGGCGACATTGAACCCCACCAGAAGCTACTGGCTAAAGCTAAGGCTAAATACAGTAAAATCTTTATTCACGTCGGCGAAAATGACACTCGGCTACGCAAATCAAAGATCACTAAAATTAATATTGCTTCAGTGTGCAACTTCGCAAAAACCATGTCTGACTCTGTCATTTTCTACAGCCCCCTCCCCAACCTGACCAGCGATGACATGTTTAGCCATATGTCGGCTTTCAACCGCTGGGTGTCCAGGTGGTGCTCCGAAAACAACGTAGGATTTGTAGACAACTGGAGTGCATTTTGGAGAAAACAGTCTGATGCAGAGAGATGGAATCCATCCCACCTTATGTGGAGCAGCACCTCTCTAAAAATTTAGATTATTCAGTTGGACATCTGGGATGTCCAGTTAACCAGTGAATACTGGGTGCAGTGGTGGGTACGATAATCACAGCCAGTTATGAATCTTAGTGCACCATGATAGACAGCATCCAACATCTGCAGCATCCAACATCTGCAGGGTTCTTGTAGGAGCGTTCATGTAAATAATGTCAGCGTGATCAATGGAGGGAAGGAAAGTCACAGATACAAGGTGTTTCCTAACATTCAGAGTTACAGGATCTGTTTCTGGAAAAGAAACCCAGTTTAACTTTCAGTTTCTTTACCAAGTTTTCCACATGGAGCTTAAAAGAGCTTAATCTTCTCTGCTGCTTCTCCTCTGTACACCACCCACACCCACATTGAAACAGTGTCAACTCGCCCACGGCTCAAATTAAATAAACCAAAAATCAGCTCTAAAAATATAAACCATAAAAATCTGATTAAAATAAACACAGTTACTTTACCAGAGCAAAATCATAAAATCATTAAATGTGGATTATTGAACATCAGATCTGTTTCCTCTAAATCCCTGTTAGTTAATGAACTGATAACTGATCATCATATTGATTTATTGTGTCTGACAGAAACTTGGCTACAACAGGAGGATTTTGTTGGTATAAATGAATCCACTCCTGTTAATTATTTAAATGTTCATGTTCCTAGAACAACTGGAGGAGTAGCTTCTATTTGTCTGTCAGAACTATTGATTAATGCCAAACCAATTAGTAGTTATAATACTTTTGAATCACTTTCTCAAAGTCTGTCCCATCCTAAATGTAAAACGGAGTGGCCACTCTCACTAGTTGTTATATATCATCCACCGGCTCCTATGCTCAGTTTTTGTCTGAATTCTTAGATTTCTAAACTGACTTACTACAAAATACTGATAAAATCATCATAATGGGTGATTTCAATATTCATGTAGATGTTGAGAGTGATAGCTTAAGCATAGCCTTTAATAATTGAATAGACTCATTTGGTTTTACCCCAAACATTCAAGCACCGACTCACTCTCATCATCACACCCTTGACCTGGTTCTGACCTATGGTGTAGAGATTAAGGACTTGGTAATAGTTCCTCAAAATCCTGTTCTGTCCGACCATTTTTTAATAACCTTTGAGTTTACATTAAATGACTACACAGGCACTGAGAGTAAATTTCATCTCAGCAGGTGCTTATCAGAAAATGCTGTAACCAAATTGAATCAATCTCTTCCATCAATGTTTTCCTCTGTCTTGCAGAGTAATGCATCAGAGAACAGAGACTTAGATCATCTGGTTAGTAATTTTACAACTACTTTACAAACTTCAATAAAGTTGCTCCGCTGAAAAAGAAAGTAATCAGTCAGAGGAAATTAGCTCCTTGGTTCAGTTATGAGTCATGTACTTTAAAACAGGCATCTAGAAAACTAGAAGAAAAAAAAATGGCGCTCCACTAGCATTGAGGACTCTTACTTATCCTGGAGTGACAGCCTGCTAACGTAGAAAAAAGCTCTCCATAAAGCTAGAACTTTATATTAGTCTTAATTGATGAGAATAAAAATAACCCCAGGTTCCTTTTCAGTACCATAGCTAGTCTAGTCAAAAATCCTCTCTCTGTTGATTCATGTATCTCTACAACTATAAGTAGTGATGACTTCATGAGATGCTTTATAAATAAAATTGTTTAAATTAGGGAAAAAAATCAAACCAACATTCCTAGTATCGCCTCTGGTTATGTGTCACCTTTAAAAACGTCACTAGAACCTGATTTATGTGTGGACTGTTTTTGTCGTGTTGAGCTCTCTGAATTGTCAAAAATAATAGCTTCATTCAAACCATCCACATGCCTGCTAGATCCCATCCTAACCAGGCTATTTAAAGACGTATTTCCCTTAATTAATAATCACGTCTTGGATCTGCTTAATTTGTCTCTAATAAACAGTTACGTACCACAGAGCTTTAAGGTTGCTGTAAGTAAACCTTTACTTAAGAAACATAACGTTGGCTCAGTAATTCTGGCCAACTATAGATCTATATCTAATCTAACTTTCATCTAAAAACTTCTAGAGAAAATAGTTGCAGGTCAGTTGCGTGATCATCTACAAAGAAATAATCTGTTTGCAGAGTTTCAGTCAGGGTTTAGAGCTCATCATAGCACAGAAACAGCACTAGTAAAAGTCACTAATGATATTCTCATGGCCTCAGACAATGTACTTGTGTCTCTACTGGTCCTGTTAGACCTCAGTGCTGCATTTGATACAGTTGATCATAATATTCTCTTACAGAGACTTGAATATGATGCTGGAATTACAGAAACAGCTCTAAAATGGTTTAAATCATATCTATCTGATAGATTCCAGTTTGTAAATGTAAATAAATCTTCTTCATACACCAAAGTTAGTCATGGAGTTCCTCAAGGTTCAGTGCTTGGGCCAATACTCTTTACCTTGTATATGTTCCCATTAGATAATGTTATTAAACATCATGGGATAAATTTTCATTGTTATGTTGATGATACACAGTTATATTTGTCCATTAAACCCAATGAATCCAATCAGCTACTTAGACTACAAGCATGTCTTAAAGACATTAGAACCTGGATGACCCTAAATTTTCTGCTTTTGAACACAGACAAGACTGAGGTTTTGGTTTTTGGACCTGAGCACCTTGGGAATGACAACATTACAGACATTCTTGTGTCAGCGACAGCAGTGTATGATAAAAGTTAGTGGTTTAGCATTAGCGAAGGTAACTGTTTGATTAGCTTTGCCCAACACTGATTATATGGTTATTTCAAAAGTGTTAAAAGTAACGCAAGCTCACAAGAGTTGGATGGTCTTTCAAATATGCTGAGTGCCCTTGCTTCTCAGCAAAAGGTTGAAAATTCAGGAGTAAATTTTGTTAAAGGTTTTTAGTCCCGTGGATACCTTTTTTTCTGAAAATGACAGTAGTAGTAGAGCTTTTTTTGTGGCTCCATAGGAAGTATGGGCAAACATCCTATCAATTCACTAAGTTAATCACTTTCTATAATTTTTAGGTAAAAATCATAGTTTATAATAACTATGGCATCTATATTCTACAATATTGCATTATTACAGTGTGGCACACAACGTAAATCATGTAAAAGTTTATTTTTTCCATCACTGTTAATCACTTTGTTAATTATAAATTTGACAGCATTCATTTTTGAGACGTTTCCTCAAACTGGGAGGATTGAAGTAAAATTTTGTTTGCTTAGGCAGTGAATGTGTTTCTGTTCCCCACAAGGATATGAGATGTATGCAAGGTTCTTATCACCAGTAAATATGGATGGGAGACTGCAATGAAGCCAAGATTCAACTTGTCTGCTGGATTCCTTAGATAGAGAATTTTACTAATTGGCTTTTATGTGAATGTTCCTGTAAAGTGCCCTGAGACAACATTGTTGTGATTTGGTGCTTTATAAATAAACCGAATTGAAAAACTGAATTGAATGAAGTTAACAATAAAACTCATCATTGAGTAGCAAACATGGAAATCAAGGCGTGTGTTTACTTTACGAAGTGCCTGTATCAAGTAGGGGAAACGAGAGATGTGGGATGATGCACAAGAAAGGTATAAAGGATCTGAGTACTTTTGAGAGGGTTTGCATTTTTGGGGGTGGGGTTGTTTCAAGAAACTGTTGGAGTGACCCACTATTGCTGCTCTTCAAGCCTCAATATTTGATGTCAATCAGAGATTTAGTCATCTATTGTTTTAATTTAATGAGAACCCATTGAATAAAGGCTGAGCTGACACAAACACACACAACCCTGGAATTCCTCATCTCATCACTACACATTGTTCATACCTGCACTGGAGCAGTTCATCCTCCAGCTGGGTGATCCTGGACTGGAGCTGTGGCACGGACTGGGCCTGTTCCTGGATCAGCCGAACCCTCTGAAGCCCCAACCTCAGAGCCTCGCGGGCCTCCTCCGCCCTCTTCCTGAAAGAAATCATAAATGATCATAATACTTTCTTATATTATTTACAACCCCATTTACAAATAAAATAAAAAGTGGGATGTTCTGTAACATGTAAAGAACGCCATGGTAACTCGAAACACCAATAAAAGTAATAGCACACATCAATACCACCGAGTCGGTCGTTTTCATGTAAAATGTGTGGGTGTAAACACTGCGGTTCAGGCCACATTGAAGTTAATGGAAGAGTAAGATATAAAGTTAAGAACCCTGAAGTCAGGTGGATAATAATAGGTGCTGCCTCTTACTAGGTAGTTCCCAATGAACAGAAACACAAGTGAAAGGCCGTGCTCTCTCAGGGGGGTGCCTCTTTCTCTCTCTGCTGTTGTGCAGGGAGTTCTGATAAACTGATCATATCAGTGTGTGATCGTCCACGAGCCAGATTAAACAACAGATTTATTACTGCGGTCTCTTGATGAGGACGTACAGCAGCTTTGTAGGTAGTTTTAAAAACTGTCAACCACAAACAGGATGGATTAATGAGTTCATTTACTGTAGTCAATGATATGAAGGAGATGTTCGACACACACACCTCACTCGCTTTCAGTCCAGCGGAGTTCTGCTCCGCTTCTTTTGGTTCTGCTCAAAGCTCACACCTGAGCAGGACTTGGACAAGTCACCTGAGATTTATGACCCATTTGAGGAAAACAACTGGTCTGTGCAGCCATTTCATTGTAAACGAGAACTGGTTCTTAATGGACTCACCTGGAATAGAAACATTGTGGTCAGGGTGTGTGTGAGAGACAAAGGAGAGCAGAGATGTGGAGGAGAGCGAGGGAGCACCACGGATAAATAGCTCAAGGAAAACTGGGTCCAGTGGGAATTACAGCTGTAACAGCAGCTCTGGTTTATTGCTGTTACGTTAATAAAGGCTCTGAGTCTGACGTGATCTGGCTCTCATTCTTTGTTTGCTAAGAGGCATCACAGTGAGTTTTTTTCACAGTGATTATCCTGGTCAGAGATTCATGAGTCTAACAGCCTCAGGGTAGAAGCTGTTCCTCAGTCTAGTGGTTCTACACTTAATGCTCCTCAACCTCCTTCCTGAGGGGAGCAGGGCAAAAAGTGTGTGTGCTGGGTGAGTGTGGTCCTTCATGATGCAGGTGGCCCTCTTCCTGCATCTGGAGGTGTAGATGTCTGTGATGGTGGGGAGACTGACTCCAACATCTTCTGTGCAGCCTTCACCACTCTCTGCAAAGCTTTTCTTTCTTGTGTGAACAGAGCACGCTCCACTTCTCTCAAGCATCCCTCCAAACACTCATTTTATCCTGGCTGAATTACATGTTCTCCACTGATGATGTTTAACCATTTTTTCTGATGATTTTTCACAAAATCCCTCTGAGCGCAAAGCATTCATAATGCAAATCCTGACAATGTTGTCGGAGGAAAAGTGGGTGGAGCTCCTGCAGGTAGGGGGCGTTTCACTTCAGGACAAATTGAGATCTCTTATTGGCCAGTTGCTGACAAGCCTACTGGACAGATCGACAGGTGACGTCGAGGACCCGACTCGTGCAACAAAAATTAAAAAAATTAATCTGATTTTACTGGCCTGTTTAAGAGTTGTTGTTTTTCTGTGTTTGTTTTTCCTGTTTTTCATTTATTCCATATTTATTCCCAATCTATTCAATATTTTGGTTAATCAAAGGTTTGACAACTGAGTTTCTTTACAAAATTGTAATGATAGTTTCTTCATTTTTTCAATAGTGCTGAGTTAAAATTTAGGGGTGCTTGAGCACTCCCCAAAAGAGGCTAAAATCACCACTGTCCTTTAATGACTGACTTTTACACCCCTGACTGTAACTCTGTGTGTTGTGTTAGTCGGGCCGGCCTCTCACGACTGCATTAGTTCAGAACGCTGCAGCTCGTCTTGTAACACCAGCACTGAACAGATCTCCAGCTGCAGCTTCTCTTCATCAGCTCCATGTTGGTTTTAGAACTGATTTTAAAGTTTCATTGATGACCTGTAAGGTCCTGAATGGACAGACTTCTCTAGACCTCATGTGTCCTCCAGGTCCCTCACATCTAATGATCATTAACTTGTTAGTTGTCCTGAGGTCCAGGCTGGTCCACTGAGGTGATCAGGTCTTTAGCTGTGGCTCCTAAACTGAGGAACCAGCTGTCTATATCAGACAGGCTTCGACTCTTTGTGTTTTTAAGTCCCATCCTAAAACTATTCATACTCACAGACTTTTAATAGAGAATGAGTTGATATTTTTATTCCATTTTTTGGTTTTATTCTTTGTCTTGTCATGTTTTTATTTTTTTTATTTTTAATGTTGTGTAAAGAAAATGGTTGAATGGATAGCCACAGAACAGTTCTCCACTTTGCCTCATTCCATCTTAAGTGAGTTTTGTTCAGCAAAAATGCCGTAGTTTCTGGTTGGTCCTCTTTACCTCTTAGTGTGGAGGTCTGGAGAACAGCAGCGGTTCTGAACGGTGTTCTTATCGGACTTCTTGTTTGCCTGATAGAGCTTTAGGCATTTGTGAATAAACTGTGTTTACAGACAATGATTTGTGGAAGTGGGTGGCACTGTGGATCAGTTGGTAGAGCTGTTGCCTCTAAACAAGAAGGTCACCAAATCAAATCCCAGCTTGGAGCCTTTCTGGGTGGAGTTTACATGTTCTCTCCATGCATGCGTGGGTTTTCTCCAGGTACTCCGTTTTCCTCCCACAGACCAAAAACATGCATGTTAGGCTGATTGGTAACTCTAAATTGTCCCTAGGTGAGAGAGTGAATGTTTGTTTGTCTCGTTTGTCTCTATGTGTCCCTGTGATGGACTGGAGACCTGTCCAGGGTGTACCCCTGCTTCGCACAGTGATGGATGGGCATGGGCACCAGAGGCCCCCTTGACCTGAAAAGGAAGAAGTGGGTAAAAGATGATGGATGGATGGATGGATGGATGGATGGATGGATGGATGGATGGATGGATGGATGGATGGATGGATGGGTGAATGGATGGATGGATGGATGGATGGATGGATGGATGGATGGATGGATGGATGGATGGATGGATGGATGGATGGATGGATGGGTGGATGGGTGAATGGGTGGATGGATGGGTGGATGG